CAAACTGTGTAGCCTCAGCCTTATTTTACGATGCATTTCCAAGTACTCCTCAATCCCATCCTTAATAATGGACTCTTAAAATCTTACCAGGCTAACCAACCTATAGTTCCCTGTGTTCTGCCTCCCTCTCTTCTTAAACAGGTTTGTTACCTTAACCATTTTCCAGTCCCCCGAGACTGTCCCTGACTCTGGTAATTCTTGAAAAATTACCACGAATGCCTGTTCAATCTCTTTTGCTATCTCCTTCAGAACTCGGGTGTAGTCCATCCAGTGTGGGTGACTTATCCATCTTCAGGTCTTTCAACTTCCCAGCACTACCTCCATAGTGATGGTCACTACACTCAGCTCTGTCCCCTATTCTCTTGAAGTTGTGTGCTGCTGGTGACTGCCACTGTAAAAACTGATGCAAAGTACCCTTACAGTTCTTTCACCATTTCCCATTATTCTCATTTTACAGTGATCCAGTGTCCATTGTTGCTTCTCTTACCTTTTAGATATCTTAAAGACTTTTGCAATCTTAGGTTACGAACTAGCATACTCTCATTTCTTCATCTTCCCCCTTTTTTGCTTTTTTACTTATTATCTGCTGTTCTTCAAAGGCTTTCCACTAATCTTCACCACATTGTATGCTTTATCTTTTGCTTTTAATGCTCTTCCTAACTTCTTGTCAGCCCTGGTTGCCTCATCCTCTCTTTAATACGTTTCTTCTTTGGGATGAATTCTGTTGTGCCTCCCAAACAACCCCCAGAAACTCCTGCTGTTGCTGCTCCATTGGTTTCTCTGCTCGGTTCCCCTTCCAAACAACTGTGACCAGCTCTCCCCTCATTTCTTTGTGATTACTTTTACTCGTAATGCAATTACAAGTAATTCAATCTTCTCCCCCTCAAACTGCAGGATGAATTCTGTCATATTCATGGAACATTGGCACCAGTACAATGCCTCCTAGGGATTGCTTCACCTTAAGTTCCTTATCGAGTCCGCCTTGGTACACATTACGAAAGCCAGAGCTCTGTTTGCGAGTGGGCTATACCATAAGCTGCTCCAATAAATCATGTAGACATTCCGCAAAGTTTTTCTTGTGACAGAGTACCAACTTGTTCATTTGTAAGTTGAAGTCCCCCGTGATTATTGTAATAGAAAAGATAGTAAGACCAAGATACTATCTTCTGATTTATTCCCCATTTCCTGACTACTACTTGGAGGCCTGTGCACAACTACTTCCATTAGGGTGTTTTTTTCCTTTGCGCTTCCTCAAATCTACCCACAAATTACATGCCTTCCAACTCTATATCACATGCTATCAGTTTAATTTCATTTCTTACTAACAAGGCAATCCTACACCCTTTGCCTGTCCTTTTGATTGCCGAAGCATCCTTATATATTTCCCAGCACTGATGCCCCCTTTGCAGTCATGTCTCTGATACCCCCAACATTGTATCTGCCTATTTCAATCTGCACTACTAGCTTATTTACCTTGTTTCATTTACTGTGTGCATTTTAGTCCATCATGTTCAGTTCTGCATTGATTGACCCCTTCTCATAGTTGTCCCCTTATCTGCTGTGTGTGAAGATATATTCCTGAGCCTTTCCATAGTCTGACCTATTACTTGTCTGGGAACTTCAATAATTAACCTCTGCTGAGTCCTCTCTGTCTCCCTCACCTCTGTGTCCCTTCCCCCACCCTCCCATGCCACACGCCCACCTCCAACTTTTTCCATGCAGTTAAACCCTTGGTTTAAAACCCTATCCATAGCCCCAGTTATGCAATTCACCAAGACAGTTTCCAGTGTGATTTAGGCAGAGCCCATCCAATTGGAGCAGGTCCCTCCTTCCCCAGTACTGGTGCCAATGTTCCATGAATTCAAAGCTGTTTCACCTACACCAATCTTTGAGCCATGGAATTACCTGTAATTTTATTGACCCTGTAGCTCAGGTAGTAATCCAGACTTTATTGCCTTTTTGGTTCTGCTTTCTAATTTAGCCCTTAGCTGCTCATATTCCCTCAGCAAAACCTCTTTCTGCCTGTATCATTGGTATCTATGTGGACCACGACAACTGGATCTTTTCCTTCCCACTCCCAAGTTCCAATGCAGCCAAGATTAGATATCCTGAACCCAGACACCAGGCAGGCATTATAGCTTTTGGGACTGAGTGTTGGCCCCAGTGAACAGTGTCTATTCCCTGACTCTACTATTCCCAATTACAACTACTAAGATCACTTCAAAAACTTTCATGATATGATCCCATTTTAATGCCTCACTCTGAGAGCCAGTGTTAGAGTTTGTGATAGACAGAGCTGAGTGAAGATGAAAGGACTTGTGTATGCCATGCTCCCCTGTCATCCCACCAGGATTCCCTGTCCAAGTTATAAATTTTACCCATTACTCTATCTACCCTAAGCACCCATTTTCACCATTTCCCTTGACAGGGGAGTTGATGAAAAGACAGCAATAAAAACATTGCCCTTCGTGAGCTTCTTGCAGGATTAGGAACTAGGCTGTTGCATACTTGATTAGGCCATGCTTTGAATTGATGTTGGTGAAAACGGGTCATTGATTTTTTTGATTTTAATATGTGAGACCTTTCATGAACTAAATATGGCTGAAGTGGTCATCTGGCCAGGTTGAGCCAAACTCATGAAACAAACAAGAATCAGTCTGATTTGTAACTTTCTGGAGGTTTAATTTGTTCGGATAAAAGTTGGCTGTAAATTAACCGGCTTGAAAACAAGAAGACTTTAGGATACATAAGTGCTCTGTGTTTCAGACAACAGTTTTTGGGCAGACAATGAAAAGGAAAATGAAGTTTTAGCAGTACTGGGTCTTGCTCTTTTAAGCCTCTTGACAATGAATGGTCAGAGAAAAAGGCAAATTGAGAAACATCCATTCACTGAACTTGGATATCTACAATTTTTGCCACTGCTGCAGGTACAAAATTTCAATTAAACAAGTGCTGCCTCAGGTTAAACACAAACCTCAGGGACACTGACGGGCTGTTCTTGATCTTCCTTATACCAGACATTCTTCTTCAAACTTTTAATTACCAGCTTGTGTGTGTTTGTCATGTTTTATTTATCTCTAGGTTAGTATATAATTAAATTTCTCTTTTACTCAAAACCTTGTAATTGGCTCAGTGCTTCCCTATCAAACTTGCCTTTGCAATCAGAGATAGTAGGAACTGCAGATGCTGGAGAATCCGAGACAACAAGGTGCAGGGCTGGATGAACACAGCAGGCCAAGCAGCATCATAGGAGCAGA